TGAACCTTTTGTTAATCTCTCGTGTGCCATACGGCCTGAAACACAGGACGAGTGTGTGTGTGTGTGTGTGTGTGTGTGTGTGTGTGTGTGTCTCAGTGTGTGTGTGTGTGTGTGTGTGTGTGTGTGTGTGTGTGCCATGTGACCCGTGAGTCGCTCCTCAAGTGGAGCTTAAGAGCTTGGGTCGCTGAGTTAACTGGATGTTCACACACGCTGAGAGACGCACACAAACACACAAACACACACACACACAAACACACACACACACGGCAGGTTTTCTTGACAGCCGGGTCGCTGTCATCACAGAGAGAGAGAGAGAGAGAGAGAGAGAGAGAGGCGTGCTCGCTCGCCCGCTCTCAGGTGCTGCAGGCCCTCAGGCACGCGGGGAGGAAACGGAGAATGAAATTGGAATTCATGAAGACGTAAGAGGATGACGCAGGTGAACACAAAGAGAGGAGATAATGACTGCGGCGCTCCTTTCATGTCCAAACAGCTCCCCCGATGTTCCTCTTTTCATTCATCATCATCGTTAAGAGTTATTAACGGTTACATTATATAAAACAAGAGCAGCGACTGTTTTCACCTTTCACACATTCACAGAGAGCTAAACTCCGATCTGACACATCTTTGTATCTCAGGAGCTTTGAGCTGCTGCAGCTTCATGAAGCTCGTCTGAAGTAGCAAAAACTCAAAAAATCAGGTTTGTCCTGTAACCTTTCCAATATTTTCTTGTTTTTACCACTTACCACCACTACATCCAAAATAAATCCAGTGAGAGTTGATTCCTAAAGTTGCTGATAGTTTTATTGCAAATCAAAGTAAACCAAAAAGTATGTGTAGTGCAGGGATGGGCAACTTTGGTCACAGCAAGGGCCACATTCATTTACTTCTCACTGCCAGGGGGCCAAATTGTAGAATACAAAAACGATTAAAGTTAATTATGTCTCAAATTAACTCAACATATACCAGTGATCAAATATCATTATGGACATATTTCTGGTTTTCATGATTTCATGGCAGATTTTTTCATGTTTTCTTCATGTTTTGAAATATAAAAATTGACCTGAGGGCCTCATTGAGAGTTGACGAGGGCCACATGTGGCCCCCGGGGCCGCCAGTTGCCCACCCCTGGTGTAGTGTCTCCAATGACTAAAAAACGTGTAATTCCTATAATTAAACACGACTGCTAAGCTTATTCGCCGTGACCCGTCTTCCTCCCAGGTGCGCTCTGCACTCCCATTTGCAGACGCGCCACTTTAATGCGGCTCCTACGCCGTCATTCTCCGTGTAGCGGCCGGAAGTTGGTGAGCCAGAAAACTTTCCTCGGCCTCTCTGGCGAGACCCCAACGAGACGTTGTGCTTCCTGTGGATGAAATCGGTCTCACCACTCAGAGAGAATATAAAAGTCAACAGGTGTCTGCATCGTCTCTTTCCAGAGTCTAAGGCCTTGTTTACTAAACCTTTGTTGTCTTTTGGCTGTTCGTTGCCACGACAACAGCGTTTGGTTTTGGGAGCCTCCAAAAACAGGTTCCAGAGTTCAAACTTGTGAAAACAAACTGCCAAACTTTTTTTTTTTTTAAACTGTGACAGGCCTCCAGTGGTTCCTGTTCAGGTGCCCAACAAACGACTCGACTCAAACAGAATCAGAAACTTTATCACAAAGTCAAACAGCAGATACGAGAGGATGCTCGACCGCGACGTCAGGGAACAGAGGATGGAAACTCATTTAGTGTAAACTTGGATATTAACCATCAGACTGGTGTTGAACTTTATTTTTCTTGTAGCCAAAAAATTCTGTCAAAACACCCAAAAACAGAAACGAGCCGTTCCTACAAAGACTCTCTACACATCACTCAAAGCCTCCATCACTTTCTCCTCCTCCTCTGAGAGCACAGCAGAC